CTTTCCTTTTCTGTAGATGCCAATTAAGGAAGCCTGTCATGTTGCTTTGCAAAGAATCCATCCAAGTAAACATAGGCTGTGGAAACATGCTGAAGCTCGGCAGAATGACAAAGGAGGAAATCCAACTGCTGTCTTGCAAATCGTATGTTGGAGAACATTTGGAAATTTCTATATACTAGTTCACATTGACAACTTGATTGGAGTTTTGTGTAACAACCAAGCTTGAGAAGTGAATAATCTTGATGATAAAACTACAAACATTAGCTGGATATCTTTCCTTGCAGTTTTTTCTATAATTAGACTTTCTTATTGTGTGATCTAAATGAATCTTGATCATGTCAGGTATCATTTGGATCAGAATTGAGCAATCGAGGCCCAACATTTGACATGGATTTGTCTGATTTTATGGAAGAAGGCAAACCAATCCACATATGAGAAAGCAAAGAAATACTTTGCTCAAGATCCTTCCCAAAAGTGGGTAGCACTTGTGCATGATTTATTATACGAGTAAGGCATGTCTGGCATTCCATGAGAACTAATAGGAATAACTATCCAGGTGGGCAGCATATGTAGCAGGTTTCTATTTTGGTCTAATGACTGAATTGGGTGTTCGATTTGAAGATAGTATAAGCATGCTGGTACCTCCTTTTCTCAACCTGTGTACTGATACTTCACTTTACCAACAAATAAAATATCTTACTGAATGCTGATTAACATTCCCCATGGGGGTTGATAACATTATTGCCAATGATTTTCACATTCAACTCGGTTCTCGATGGGAGTATCTTGCCTCCTTTAGTGCAATGTTGAAACAATTGTACTGGCCTATAATTGTGCCACTTACTCTATCTCATTTATTTATATTCTAATATGTAGACAATGTAAACAAATATGTAGGTTTCATCTGCAGTTCCAGAAGGGAAAGGTGTATCATCTTCTGCCTCTGTGGAGGTTGCTAGTATGTCTGCTATTGCAGCTGCTCATGGTAATTATGCTTCAGTTATGTTAAATATTCAACCACTAAAATGTAAACTCTTTCATTATTTTTGGTCATTTTAATGCGACTTCACATCGAGTAAAATTAATCTTCTTCAAAGTGATTTCACAAATGAGATCTCTTTTATCAATGGTTCATTCTCTTCTATCGAAAAGAGAACCTTTTCATTTTTCTGATCTTGATACCGTTTTGGTGTTTACTGAATGCCTAAATAGGTCCAATTTTTTTCATGTGGGTAAATTAATTTCTCTGTTTCTGTAACTCAGGGTTAAATATCAGCCCAAGGGAACTGGCCATACTCTGCCAGAAGGTTGGACTTTATGCATTACTCTGATCCACATTGATTTCCTATGATTTTATATTTTATCTTTGGCATGCATTGTCCACTAGATGTAATTTCAATTGATCTCTTACAATTTTCATCAGGTGGAAAACCACATTGTAGGAGCTCCTTGCGGAGTCATGGACCAGATGGCTTCAGCATGCGGTGAAGCCAACAAACTTCTTGCTATGGTTTGCCAGGTGAGCATCATTACGAGTTATCTAAAATTATATTTTCTTATTCTTTAGACACTATATCATGGTACTGCTCTTCATTGTTGTAGCCTGCGGAAATTATTGGTCTTGTTGACATTCCCAGCCATATCCGTTTCTGGGGAATTGATTCTGGAATAAGACACAGGTTTGTGATCTATCATGATTTGCCAAATTTCCTGCATACATCTTTTTCTGTTGTGACCATCAGTTTCGGTTTCCTAGAGTAAAGATGCTGTAATTATTGGTTGTGTTAATGAAACTAGAATTTTTGTTGTCTTTTGGGAAATATGAGGAAAAATGATGGCAAGATATTTTAACTGCCACTCACTTGTGGTGATAGACAGTTTCTACTTGGAGGGAACCATTGATACTTAACTCGCATCTATTATACAATAAAAGAGAGAGAGAGAGATGAGATTAAAGATATAAATAGTGAAAGTTTCTGCTTACCCTAAATAAGTTTTATAAGGATTGCACTTGACAGAGCAGCAGAAACCTATGCTTTAACAAGAATATCCTGTTTTAGTCCTCCTTATTCTATCTTGGGCATGTTCATGAACTATCGTAAGCGTTGTTTATTTCAGCGTTGGAGGTGCAGACTATGGTTCTGTTAGAATTGGCACCTTTATGGGTATGAAGATGATAAAGGCCAAGGCTTCTGAGGAATTGTCCAAGAGTTGTGCTGCTAATGGGTTGAACTATGATGAAGTGGAACAAGATGATCTAGAACTACTCAAACAAGAAGCCTCCTTAGATTACTTATGTAATTTGCCACCTCATAGGTAAATCCTTTTTTCTCCTTTTCATAAAATAAGTTATCACGAGTGGATTATTATGTCAGATAAATTATTTCTGCATATAGAACTACTACGATACTTACCTATAATCACCATATGTTTGCTTATCCAATGGCTTCGAGTAGTATTATAAAATGGTCTCATTATCTGTTAATTGGATCATTATCATGCTTAAACATTGTATTGACCTTTTCAATTTCTTCATCAACTTGCTCTGTTAGATATCAGTACTAATCCTTACAATTTTGGAACTCAAGTATTATTCATTTTTTATTTGCAGATTTGAGGCTCTTTATGCTAAGTCTCTTCCAGAGTCCATTGTTGGTGAGACATTTTTAGAGCAACATGAAAATCATAATGATCCTGTCACTATTATTGATCAGAAGCGTACTTACGTAGTTAAAGCTCCCACAACGCATCCAATCTATGAAAACTTCCGAGTCAAGGTTAGGACTTCATTAAAGCTTTAAATTGGTTTCAAGTAACTCATGATTTGTTCTAGTTGTTGCATTCTTTTGCCCAATTATTATGTACTAGTCTCAGTAAAACTCTCCTGTCGTAATTTTATACTTCAGAAAATTTGTCTTTCTCTTTTTTTTTGGAAAGTTAATTATGTAGTCAAGCCATTATATTTGGCAAATAACTGTTATATTATGTAGATCATAGGATGGTACATTTGAATACTTTGTCACACCTAATCCACGTTCTACAAGAGACGTTGACTCTTAAGAACATATTTTTTCATGTGGTAACTTTCACCTGGTATCATGATACAAGTATATATCATATTTTCTATTATAGTTATTTGAATTTTAATTACTTATCCATCATATTTTGTGCAGACCTTCAAGGCACTTCTATCATCTGCATCTTCAACCTATCAGCTTGCATCCTTAGGAGAACTACTATATCAGGTACATCTACAGCTTCAGTTGATCAACTTACCATGATAATAAATTTCGATGAACACGTGATACTATTGGCTTTGGTTCCTATTTTTAGTATTTTAAACTCCATTTTTATCATATTATGAACAATGTCTTGTCCATGATAAATCATTCACTTTCTTTTAACATTCTTTGTATAAACAGGAAGATTAGAATAGTTAGTTGAATGTCTATATTATTTACTGTTTAATTGGAGACTTATTACTTGTTTGATAGAAAATTATTTTCCTGTTCCCTTTTTGAATATTAACTTTGGCATTGGAATTGAAGAATACCAAACTACAAATGGGGGAAAGTAATTGAGTTTTAACTATCTTATGCAGTGCCACTACAGCTACAGTGCTTGTGGACTTGGCTCTGATGGAACAGATAGGCTTGTACACTTAGTGCAAGAGTTGCAGCACAGTGCAGAATCTAAATCTGAAGGTGGGATTTTATATGGAGCCAAGATAACTGGTGGTGGTTCAGGCGGAACAGTTTGTGTAATTGGTAGAAACTGTCTCAAGAGCAGTGAACACATTTTTGAGGTATTCATTTCAATGATTTTAAATTAATACAGTATCATAACTAAATATACTGAACATCTCTTGTGGATAGAAGGTAAGTAAGGTTTTCATGATTAAGATTCTACTTGAATAAAGATTCTGTAGATGCTATCAAAGGAAAATGAAATAATTTTTTTAAGTTAATTAGCTTTTCTAAAAAAGTTGGTTTTTAACTAATACTTAAATTTATTTGTAGAACTTAATTAGTTTATGTATAGCCTATTTCATTTTTTGTCTTTAAGTATCTATTAAGAAGTTTACCCAAACAAACTTTCAATAGTTTGCAAAAACTATAGCTAAAAGCATGTTTAAACCAACTTTTTCTCATTGTAAATGCTGTTTGTTTTCTCATGGTAGCATCTGATTCTATCTTTGTAGAACTTAGCCATAGTGAGACATCATGAAATACTTGCAGTCTGAATCTTACAACGAATTTTGATGCAGGTTCAGCAGAGATACAAGAAAGCTACTGGTTATATGCCTTTTCTTTTTGAGGGTTCATCACCAGGTGCTGGAAAATTTGGGTACCTGAAAATACGCCGTCGAGCTGCCCCAAAAAAGGCTAATACGGGTGATGATGATGCTGCAGTCACAGTGGAAAATAGCAGTTGATCATGGCTTATAGTCCAGTACCTTAGGAATTCTTACCTTCACTATCTTTCACGGAATATGTACA